CTGCCGCCGGCGCGACCTCAGTCCCGCCGCCTCGGGAAGGGAAAGGCCACGGCTTGGAAGGCCGCCGCTGGAGCGAAGCTGCGCGCAGCCGCTGTGCTAGCATCGGATCGGGCGCGCCGGACGGTTCCGACCGAGCCCCGAGCGTCGTCTTTGGCGCCCGCCCAGCACCGCGGAGCTCCCTGTACCGGGAGAAGGGAAAGACCCCCCCCCGGGCGGGGCAGGGAGAGGAGCTTCTCCCGCCCGCCCCTCTTTCCGCGGCCACCGGTGTCCCCGCAGGACGACCCCCGCCCCGCAGTCGCCGCCGCTTGAAAGAGACGGGCCGGGGGTGGGTAGAAAGGCGCCGGGCGCCCTTGGAGGAGAAGGTCCCGCGTTCGCCTGTCTGCCCGCGGATGTCAGCGGAGCTTTGCCGAGGCTTCGTACGGGGTCTCTGGGCAAACACGTCCACCCGAGCGGGGCTTGTCGCCTCCGGCACGCAACGAGCGCTGCCCTCGGATTCCCTGTCCGGTTGCCCCCCTTTTGAGGACGATGGCAGTAAACTGTTCCCGTAGCAGCGGCTGCTCCGCTGACATCCGCGGGCAGACAGGCGAATGCGAGACCTTCTCCTCCAAGGGCGCCCGGCGCCTTTCTACCCACACCCGGCCTTTCCCTTCCCGAGGCAACGCGGGACTGGGGCCGCTCCGGCGGCGGCGACTCCCAACGGCCCCAGCCGGGAATTGAAAGGCAGGCGGCGGGGACTCCCAACGGCCCCAGCCGGGAAGGGAAAGGCAGGCGGCGGCGACTCCCAACGGCCCCAGCCGGGAAGAGAAAGGCAGGGGGAAAGGCAGGCGGCGGGGACTCCCAACGGCCCCAGCCGGGAAGGAAAAGGCAGGCGGCGGCGACTCCCAACAGTCCCAGCTGGGAAGGGAAAGGCAGGGGGAAAGGCAGGCGGCGGGGACTCCCAACAGTCCCAGCCGGGAAGGGAAAGGCAGGGGGAAAGGCAGGCGGCGGGGACTCCCAACGGCCCCAGCCGGGAAGGGAAAGGCAGGCGGCAGCGACTCCCAAC